CGTGCGGATTCTGTGTATATATTCTGTATATTCTGGGCTCTGTTTTTGTATTGATCTGACAATTAATATGAATTAGTTTTCTGATCACAAACTCCGGGCTCTCTCTCTCTCTCTCTCTCTCTCTCTCCGCACACTTTTCTGTTGAGTTTAAATCTTATTAAATGGTTTTACTCTTACGGATCGATAAATAGATAAAAAAAAACTTTTTTCGTTCGTGTTTTTGATTCTGTATTTAATTAAAAAAGTTTTTTTTGACAAATCCTAACAAACAATTGATTTTGTGATGAGTTTTTGTTATTATTAACTGTGTTTTTCCGTTGAAATCCTTTTATACTAATATAAATTATAGCAGTAATGTATATATTTTTATAGCAATTGTAGCTTAAAATCGAGTGCTTTTGAGAGAGAGAGAGAGAGAGAGAGAGTTGTTTAGCTACTTTGCATACGAAACCAACGATTTATTCAAACGTTAAATTGTTTTTAGACTTGTTTTCGCACCAAACAATCCGCGCAACCATTTGTATCCATTAAACCGCACAAAAACTAATTACTAGTATTTCTCTCACCACTTAAAAAACCCCAGGAATTCATGTCCTCGGAGGATGACGAGAGCACCAGTAGTGCGCAGCACAGGTCCACCTCATCTCCATATCCCCACCGCCGGAGCGACACTAAACTCAACCGATTGCCGAGTGTCGAGCAGAAGGAAATCCTGGCCCGAGTGCTGCAAAAGGACGGCAACAACGGCACCCGTAGTCACAAAAACAACAGGTGTTGCCTGAGCACCTGTACCCTCTCGAAGTCTGGTATGTGCGGCTCGCGGCTCAAGATGTGCTCCAATTGCGTCCAAAGGGACAGTTCGTCGGGCGAGAAGTCGGTTGTGGACTACGACTCGCAGCTGTTGCGGTGGACCACGAAAACTACCGGCGCCACGACCGTATCCGGCGGTACGATAGGGTCGGGCAAATCGTGCCCCCTGTGCTGTTCGGCGCCGGCGGTCAATACATGTACCCCTCTGTGCGCTACCGACGCCCCACTGGCCTTCAGCTGCGAAAACGCCAGTTATGTAGTGAGCAGTCATTCCAATAGCGCTAACGAAGACACAGAGATCTAGTCATCTGAAGATTGTCTCATGTCTTCAGTCGTTGTCAACCACTTCCAGCCATCGCTTAGCCATTCCTCTGGAGTTTTAATGTATTTTTTGTTATTAGTTTTTGTTATTAAACAATAAAACAAATTCTTAACAATGCTAATAAGTATTTAGTAACGTAAAAATACAAACAATATGTTTTAAAATTACTATTTATGTTTACAAACCAAATTAAACAACTAGTAAAGACTACGGTATTTACTTTATTTAAATGAAAAAAAGTTATTTAATTCAATATTTAAAGTGTTTGTTATATATAAGTAAATATTTATCACAAGAATCTGTTGTATACGAAAATGAATCGCTAGTCTATTAGTTATATTTATATATACGATAATTGTATATAAATTCCAATTCTTATATAGATTCCTATGACACACAGAATATTCTGCAATAAAATTGAGAGTTGTTTTTGTTATGAAAAGAAATGAAAAATTTATAAAATGTTTGCATAAAAGTCTCCCTAATTTAAATACTAGTGAAAACATTTTAAGTATGAATTTTATTAATAAAAATGTTTCTTAAAAATATGTTTGAATAATTTATTTTCGCAAATTCTTGAATATTATTTATGAAATGCCACAGGTCATTCGTATTTAAACCATTTTCATAAATGATTAATTATTTTATCCAGAATATTTAATCTAGTTTAAAATTATTATTAAAATTAAATATAAATCAATACTTAAGCAATTAATTTATTTATTAAGATAACGTTATTTTAAAAATCTTAATTAAACTAGTACATCTATTTAATTTTTAGCCTATACTGTATTAACTAAATTATTTTTAATAATTCTTTTGAATATTATATATTTGAATTGATGTTATTTTAAATTTCATTGGACCCATTTTTGTTTAAAATTTGTTGAAATATTATCTAAATTGTAATTAACGTTAGTTATCATTTATCATAACTAAAATGGGGAGTCACAGAATATTCTCAGTTTACTGTAACACTTGTTGCGTACGCTCTCCACAGATGTCGCCATTGAGTCCAACTCTACAACACGTGGGCGACTCATACATTACGTGCGGCGGCTGTCGTGGGCGGGCGTCCATTGGCTAAGCGTACGCTCTGTTGACGTGATTTGTTTTGACCACAAATGGGGATCAAGTGTTGACTGCAAACACACCATAACATTGACCGCAGCGTTCATAGCGTTTACTATCACCCCAACTGATCCCATAGTGTGTATGTGCGATGGTTGCGGTCACTCGTGGCCATCGGTGGTGATGACTATCGACTACTTCCGGAGGTCGCAGCCAATTATCTCTCCGCACAACTCCTGCAGCACATCCATCCCGTGGTGTGTCTGTGTGTCACTGAATCGCTTCCAATAGTGTGATAAGTAGTGTCTGTGTGTGTTGTGGTGGACATCCATTATCTCATCATCCGGTGTCTCATATGCTCGCCATCGACATCGACATCCAGTGTATGTATCCATTTGTTTACTCGTATGTAATGCGTGTATGTCTTTGACGGTGACTATCAGATCCCAATACACCTATTGATACCGCGAGACCATTGGCCGGTGTCTTAAGCCGATTATCTGTCGCTAAATGTGTGGTTTGAGTGCTTGTATTGATAATAGCGGTCATTATCTCTGCGTTATGTGTGTGTCTCCCATGTCTTAGAAACTCTTGAGGTGTGACTTATGGACACTTGTAATGCCAGTAATTATCTCATTGTTTACATTATAGCTATGAATGCGAGTCACTGTTTGACTGATCCCATGGCTTATCGCTGCGTAAGAGTTA